ATCTGTGTACGTCTTATATTCAAGTCATTTAATTTAATTAAAAATAACTTTGCATATTTATATAGACGCAAAACATGGAAATCGTATACTAATTCACACTCTCAGTAATAATTATAACTCGTTTGCACTCAAATAAATAATAATTTAAAAATCTTTGGAATTGATCTGAACTATTCGGTTGACATTTATGACATGCTAAAATAGCATAGTTTAAAATACATTGAATATTATTCATGCTCATATATAATTTAAATGCAATATTATTAGTTTAAATTTTATTCAAATTTTATAAACAACTAAACTGAAATATGATACTATCATTTATTCCAAGTGTATTTCCTATTTTATCGAGGAGAGCTTTATCATGTTAGAACCTGTAAACAAGACGGAAAACAATTCCTGTTGAGCCAACATTGAATGATTAATAAAGTTAATTTCATATTTTAGCTTTTTCATCTTAATTTTCAGGCAGTGTGTAGGATGAAAGAAAATTGTACATTACTGATAATTTATTTCATATTTTCCATTATATTCATACAAATTATTTGACACTTCAAAAAAAAAAAAAAAAATTGTGTAAATCAAAACAAAAGTTTTTACACTTATGGAATAAAATTCAAAAAGATAAATGATTCAAAGAATTCAAAACAAATTTCAGAACTCAGTGAGTTGAAAATAATTTGTTATTTCAAACAAATAAAGCAATTGCAAATTTCAAAAGCACATAAATTAATTTGGAAATGCCGGAAGTTAGAAATAACTAGTTTGAGAAAAGTAGAAAATTAACAATAACAGAGGTTCGATTGAAAATGCATCTCAGCTTTGTAAACCAGATATTTCGTGCATCTCATCTTGCAGCATGCATCAATGAAATGGCTAGTACTGTATATAATATGCACAACTAGCATGCATTGATAGTAACCAGAAATGCAGGCATGCAATAAGTAAAAGTAACCTAAAAATGCAAAAAAAAAAAATGAAGAAAAAAGATTTATTCCAAAAATATAACAAACAAAAATATTATCTGAGAAATGAAAATCGGAAAATCATTTAGTAAATAAGGAAAAGGTCCAAAATGCGTTACAGGAAGAAAATTAGCAAACAAAAAAGTATAAAGAACCAAAATTAATTAGAATACGAGCAAAAAATCATACTGAAATTGAAGTTCGACACAAAAAGTATGCAATATTAGCAAAAAAGCAAGAAATAAACAATAAACAATTTTGAAATAAGCAAAAAGTTAGTAAAAGTTTCGGAAATTTAAAAAAGTTTTTATTATATCTTTCAATTCGTTTTTCTATTTTATTTAATAAAATGCATAGCATGTCATGCAGTCTCTGCTAATTAACATAGAGATAAAAGCAATTAAAAGAAATGCAAATTTAAAAAATTGAAAAAATAGAAAATTTAAAATGAATCATGAAAATCCTAAGACATAAATGAGAAGTTAAAAAATTCGAAAACTTAATGAGCTGACAGAAAGAATTCAATAAGAAGATGAAACCTATAAATGTAAACCAAAAAAACCAGTAAACAAGTGGTGCAACAAATGCAAACAATCTAGAATATTTTATGAAAAGCATATAAAGTGAAATTAAAAAACAGTACATAATAAGTAAAAAAAAGTATTTTGAAATTTGGAAAATGAAAACTGCACAAAATTTGAATTGAATTGAATTTAACAAATCCAAAAATGACAATCCAAAATTGAAAAGTGTAAGATAATTCAATAATTTAGAAAATGGAAATGAAAAGAAAATAAAAATTGAAACACTTAGAAAAATCAAAAAATAGTTTGAAAATAGAATAACAGAAATTCGTGCTAAAATTCAGAAGCATAAAAAATTTTTTAAGGCAAATGATTCGAAAAACAATCAAAAAGTTAAAAATTCGAATGGATATTTAAAAGCAAAAAGAAATTTAACAATTCAAAAAACAATCTTGAAATTTCAAAAATATGATGGCTGAAGAACTGAAAGTCCGGAGTAGAAGAATTTTGCAAAACCTTAGAGAATTTAAGGAATTGGAAAAAATTAGAAAGTCCAAAGTTAGAAAAAATTCTTAGTTCAATGAATAAAGTAAAAAAAAATTCAAAAATTTAGAAATGCAAAACACACCCAAAAAATTGATGAAATTCGGAGTGCTGAAAGAAAATTGAAATTAAAAGAAATTTGAATAGCATATTAATAAATGCTACCTTGAAGTAATCACTAAATTTGGTGCCACCTGGTGATTCATATAAAGTAGCCATTAATGGTCAATGATATTATCATTTCCAAGCTTGACAACTTATCCCATACAAAACAAAAAGTTTAATATTTAAAAACATTGAAAATAATCATTTGCATGTAGTCTCGAGATGAGAAATAATCATTTGCATGTAGTCTCGAGATGAGAAATAATCATTTGCATGTAGTCTCGAGATGAGAAATAATCATTTGCATGTAGTCTCGAGATGGGATGCATCATATTTTAGCTTTCATTCACTTTAACCAAAGAAATTAATCAAAAAATAGCGAAATTTTGATAGGGATTTTTATAGGATTTTTTCGTAAAATAATTTAAGCAATCATAAATGACAAACAAAAGATTTAGTAAAACCTTAATAACAAGTAAAATGTTTTACTTAAATTAAATTAAACAAATAATAAGTAAAACTGATATACTCAAATTAAATTAGATAAACAATTAAAGGTAAACGACAAATAAGACAACGTTATATTTTATTAACTTTTTTATTAACATGATAAGATTATAAGCAAAAACAAACATTCTTATTAGTATTTTGGCTAATTTTTGTCAATTCTCGTATTTCATCAATTGTGTACGGTAGGATAGCTTTTCGGAATGTAATTTTAATTTTGATTAGCTATGCTAATTTCACTATAAAATATGAAAGGAACAAATGTTAAACATTTTTATATTTAAAAAATGATTAACCGATTTTGTCACTTTTGTCAATTTTCATATTTCTCAATGGTCACATCAATGCATTGTTCCAGCATCTTTTAAATTTTAATATGTTTTTGGATTTTAAATTCATTCTCGAATTATTTGTGATTTGAGGTTTAGTGAAAAGAAAAAATGGTGATTAGCACAAAATGTTCATTGAAGGCTAAAATTTGAAATGAAAATTGGAAATTTTTATCGCCGAATTATTTGATACGAATTGCATTTTTTATAAGTTGAATTCAAGTCCTTTTGTTAATATATTTTACTTTGCGTAATATATAAGATATTTTAACGATATCAACAATGTTTAAGCAAGAATACTTGAATGTGTGAAACAAAATATGATTAAAAAATCTAAATTCTACAGCCAATTTCAGGAGTAGGATAATATCGAGAATGCTGGAGGTGAAAGTCAAGTGGTGTCGAGAACAAGGAAGAGAGGAGGATCAAATCTAATTCTCGGCAAAGAGATAAGCCAAAAAAAAAAATTAAAGTTGCCGAATGATCGGAAGCTGGTGATAAACCTGGGCATGAAAATTTATCACTTCGTTATAAGCGGAATCAAAGACGGCAAATCTTCAAAAGACAAAAGCGAAAATCAAAACTGATAAGAAATCTTTAGTTTATATCATTCATGATAATATTCTAATATATTTCATCAAAAAAAAAATTCAAGCTGCAAGAAGAAATGGCAGTGTGGTGGTAAATGAGGCGTCAAGTTCAAGTTTGAATATTCGAGGAGGGAACCAATTCAATCAATCAATCAATCAATCAATCGATCAAATCAATCAATATCATCGATTTCTTTCGCATCTTTTTATGCATCCATTTTCTTTCCAGCACATTAATCGATCCTAAAGTTCCATGATTATATTATGCACATTGGGTTTTGAACTTGGAAAATATTAGATTTAAATTTTGGATAATTTTCTAATTTCTAGCAGTTAATTATTTTAAAGTAACAATGACGAAAATATTTTATCGCGGATGATATTTTAATTTGTAATAGCATAAATTTAACTACAAATGTGAGTTTCGTTCATTGTTTCATTGATTAGTTACTTTGAGTAATCCAATGGTTTTTTAAATCTTTGCAATTAGAATGAATAACAATGTTTAAAGTAGACTTACCAGAATCAAAAGAAAGATTCAGATGGATTATCATCGATGGAATACATTATTATCACAAATGATAACAACTGAAACTGCTAGTTTTTCCATTTAGTTAGCTAAAAATTTGAAAATTTTTTGTTATCAAAAATTGAAAGGTAGCAAGAAGATTACTGTTGAGGAACATTTCAGCTGTAACTTTAAAATTAGAAATGAGATGATAAAGTAACTGAGAAATTATGGCTTATTAAATAATTTCATATTCAATTAAACTTAATAATAATAATAATCATTTTCCTATATGGTAGTGATATTTTAGCATTGAGGAATAATATCCTCTATTGTATTTTGAAATTATTTAGCTTTTAGTGTTAATCTTAGTAGTATAATTGAAAAATTAAAGGTTTGATACTAAAATAAACAAATTTGACTTCCAAAACACGAAATGATGAAAGCAATAAATTCCAAGAAAACTGATAAATCCAACCACAAAAGAAAAAAAATATTGCAATTAATAACAAAAAAAAAAAAAAAATAAAATAAAATGGATGATAATAATAATAAAATTTGTTGGTAGTGAAAATGAATGAAATGATAAAATGATAAAGTCGAAAGATAACAAACTAAAATTGATCAAAGAGCTATCCGTTGTATGATACTGTAATAATCAACAAATTATATTACAACTTCATTCTCTTAATTAATTTGTTTAAATTAAATATAATTTTAATTTATCTACCAATGCTATCAGCTTCGAACAGTATTCCCTTATCTAAAATTGATCAAAATAAATTTATTGCCAAGTTTAAATTGACTGGAAAATTAACACCTTCAAAAAATGCAGGTGTCATTTCAGCATGTGACATTTTATAGGCGCAACATTACCAGTAATTTCATGATTTTGTGGCATATTAAAGCGAACTGTGGACAATTTGCCAATGCCATCATCATCTAGAATGACTTCAGAATGCATTCCGTTTCCGGAAAAGTAACACTTTTTTCAAAAAAATCGTCTTGGCAGTATGAAGAAATAATTGAGTGATATATATTAACAATTCGTTACATATTTCGCATGAAATAAATTAAATTTATGAATGAATTAAAATATTTAAGAATTGTTAGAGACAAAGTAAACGAAAAAAAAAAAGAAAAAACTCGCTAGATTGTTCTATCTTAAATAAATTTGGACAAATCAAAAATTCTACCAATTAATTTCGCTTTATAACATAGAAATTTCGATCTGCTTGTTTAGTTGTTGATAGTTTAAATAGTGGTTTTAAAGGTTTAAATAAAATTTAACCTTTAGCACCAAAAAAAAAAGTCTCTCTCAGTTTTATACATTTGAAGTAGATCTAAAGTTTATACATTGATGAAAACTTATAAAATTTTCAAGACAATTACTTTTTGGTTTTATTTTCATTACAATATGACGTGGCTAAAAGTATGTTCATAGTAATATTTGTAATAATACCTTTATGACAGATATATTGTCGGGTCACTCGGATCAGAGATGATATCTGCCTGGTCACTGGGATCAAAGATGATATCTGCCTGGTCACTCGGATCAGCGGTGATATCTGCCTGGTCACTCGGATCAGCGGTGATATCTGTCTGGTCACTCGGATCAGCGGTGATATCTGTCTGGTCACTCGGATCAGAGATGATATCTATCAGGTCACACGAACTGATGATATCTGTACGATCATTTGAAAACAAAGTTTGGTTGAAACCGTTAACTTTACCATTTAAATTCTTGAAACAAAGAAAAGAAAGCACAATTTTTATAAAAACAAAACGTTTTAAATTTATATAATTGGCTTTATGAATAATTCCATTTGTTGAAGAATTTATCAGAAGCAATTCAATTAATTCATTATTTGTTTATAAGGGAACAAACAATTTGTTTGTGAAGGACCATTAACTAATTACATTACATAATATATTGGTTTAAGTGCTTGAATTCGTTTCATTTAGAATTTAGAAAAAAATTCTAAAACAAATTAGAAAAAAAAAAAACAAATTGAATTAATAAAAATCTTACTTTGTGTAATCTTATTTACTGAGTAGACAGAAATAAACTGCTAAGTGGTATCAATGATGGACTGATTTTACTTTTGAAAATGTTATTAATTGATTGCAACTGCGTGGAACATTCTTGAGAATTCTCGAATTTATCATGCAAAACATTTGTGAGAATTACTTGAATTTGAATTCATAAATATTTCGTTTTTATTAATTTTAGTATTACTTTTATGTTTTTATTATTAGATAAATTTATTGCACAAGTTAATAAGTCATTTCTAACATTTGAGTCTTTTTATTTTAGTTCGAAAATAGTGTGATAAATGCTATAAGTCTATGCTAAATATTTTTCTGAAAGAATCTGATTAATATATCGTAATTGATTGCTTGATTGATTGATTGATCGATTGATCATATTTTGCTATGATCATTTATTACAACTGGACGCTTTGATGCTATTATTCAAGAATTTCATCTTATATTTAATTACTAATTTAAATTTTGAGTTAGACGATAGAAACATCACTGATTTTTGTAAGCACCAAAGAATTGCCACTTTTCTTATACAAATTCTATTTCTTTTGAAATGGATAACCAATTTGTAAAAAAAAAAGATTATCTGATAGCACTAATATGAAGAAAATTATCATACAAAATTATCACAAGCATAAACTGAGGCCCAGTATTTCTGATTATGTCTTCACTCTTATCATATCACAAGCATAAACTGAGGCCCAGTATTTCTGATTATGTCTTCACTCTTATCATATCACAAGCATAAACTGAGGCCCAGTATTTCTGATTATGTCTTCACTCTTATCATATCACAAGCATAAACTGAGGCCCAGTATTTCTGATTATGTCTTCACTCTTATCATATCACAAGCATAAACTGAGGCCCAGTATTTCTGATTATGTCTTCACTCTTATCATATCACAAGCATAAACTGAGGCCCAGTATTTCTGATTATGTCTTCACTCTTATCATATCACAAGCATAAACTGAGGCCCAGTATTTCTGATTATGTCTTCACTCTTATCATATCACAATCGATATCTTTACGGATCGAAATATGTGATATCCATCACTACTGATTGTCTCTTATTGTTGGCAATTGTGATACGCTATATCGGAATGAGAGTAGGATCAGTCTTCTTGCAGTCAATTTTAATTTTATTTAATTTCAAAACTCATTCTCTTATGAGATCCTATTATTTCAAAGAAGACATTCTTAACAAAATATAGTAATGAAAATATACTCATTTGTTTGTTTGTTTGTTTATTTGTTTATTTGTTTTTAAATTAAAAAGTCATTAATAAAAAGTCTATGGAATATAATTATAAGAAATATGGAAGTAAGAACAAATTGAGTTAACTCGTCTGCTTTTTATCTATGCAACAAAGTTTTATTTTCAAATTCTGATAAGTATCTAAGAAATCTGGTCAATATCATATTATTATTTAGTTTAAAATTATTATAATTTATGGCAAAAAAATTTCTTTCGATTTAGAATTTTTGTTGTTTCTTGTCATTATCATTTTTATTTATATATAATTTTTAAAAGTTAATTTTCATAGCATAACCACTGATATCATTGATATTAAGCTGACATTTTGTAAAGGATCAGAAAATCAATCATTTTAGGTTATTGATTAGTTAATTTCTTAAAGCTACTTTGCTCAGCTATAAAAATTAAACTATTATTCTTGATGGTCTTTTTTTCTGGATTAATTGTTCATATATAATATGCAATGTTATTAGAAGCTAAAATATTATCAAATTCAGTTTTATATAATTTTAGCACTACTAATATTCCAATGTAATAATGGTCAGATTAAAAGTGATTAGACCTGTACTAGCATTTACACTAATTATTGGACTATTTTTTGTGATATTTTATTTATATATGAATGATATTTATAATACTTCGATTGCTTCAGCACAAACAATTTCTAAATTTTTGGAAAAAATCAATCTTCCCGCTGGTATCATTTTACAAATATATTTATTCTAACTGTAAATATTTTGCTTCTTATCAATTTTCTATAATTCTTGAACTGATATCAAGCATGCATTTAATTTCATTAATATAATGAGAGTAATTTTAAATAGAACGGTTTGAAGGAAAAACAAAAAAAAAAAGAAACGAAAATTAAAGTCGAAGTTTTTATAAGAAAGAAATAATGAAATACATATCACAGTGTCCTATTCAATTTTATCAATTATTTACTCATTCACATTCAACTTTAGTTAATTTTCATTTGACAAAAAGTTTGCATAAAATGAATTATTTTTTTTTTTTAGTAGATTTAAGTTTTGATAAGCAAAATGAATGTCACCTCGTAAAACTTGATCCCTGGGATCCTCAAATAATTCCACATTTATATCCTAATTGGAATCCATTGCAAATGTGTCGCATCAATCGTCATATGCATACCGAACTCAAAAATGGCACAGTTCGAATGCTTAATGATATGTATGTTTCTACCTTATCACATACTATCAAAATATTTTTCACTTGTCAGATAGTTTGTTGTATTATCTGATTAATTAAAATTTGATTGATTAATTAAAATCTGAAATGCATAATAAGTATTTCTATAGTTTCATCTTTCTTAATATTTTCTAATCATGATAAAAAAAGAATGTGAATAGATAAGAAAGTAGTAGCTTTTATTTTAATTACAAAAATTGCTGTCTCACTTAAACAATAAATAAATTATGTGTTTATTATTATTCTTTTCATGTTATCCCACTTAAAAAAAAATTTCCATTTCAAGCATAAGTCTGTGTATTTATCAAAGTTTTAATTTGACTTATTTACTAAATCATAGCTTAGAAATTCGGAATGTCAATATCGATGTCTTTATGTAAGTAGCGAATTGGATTTGAAACCGAGTAATTGGATTAAAATGAAAAAAAATGCAACATATCAGGAAAGTTGTGAATTTATCGAAACGCATTGCACAAAAAATGGGACAACAACTTTTCAGTACATTCATGATCAGGCTCGTTTAATTTCACTTTTTGAAAAATTCATTTCAGTTCGCTTCAATTTCAACTAATGGCAATTTAATTGGAGTACTTTTATTTTAAAAAAAAAATTCTTTCAAATAAAACGAAGCAACAATGGAACAGAAATATTTGTGATGTTGAAAAAAAAAATATAAAATTAGACAGCCATTCAATTTCTAGATTTAAAAACCTTAAAAATTTCAATTTTATTCAGAACTATAAACTGTTTTTCTTTTTTTTTCCGTTTTTTTTTTGTACTTTTATGATACGATAATAATTATTTGAAATTATTGGTAAATGTTTTTCTAAAATATGATGAAAAGGATTTCGTTTTTTTCTTAGTTGATGAGACAAAATGATAAGGTATTCCAAGAGGAGGATGAATTGCATCCAGGTGTATTCATGCTTGTGCTTGATTCTACCTCATCCTCTTCCGGAATTCGTACAGTCATGGAAACTAATCAAGTAATTTTTTTTTTTTTTTTTTGAATTTCATTTATCAGTTATTATCAGTTTTATTATTTATTATCATATAACATCTAAAAATTTCTTTATCAGCAACTGATTATTGAACTTATTTATCAGCAGTAACAGATACACTTCTTTGTTTAGTTCATTTATACAAAATATATTTAAATGCTAACATTGAGAGGTATTTCTGAACTTTCGATGACTAGCATTTCGGTTAAGCAAATTGTACAATATCCATTACTAATGATAGCAGTAACGAAGTTATAAAAAGTTTTTTAAAAATTTTGTCTGGAAGGGCATGGTAAGTCGATGAAATTTGAAATAAAAGGAAAGTAAACTTTGAAATGATTTATTGAAATTCATGTAAAAGGCCATAATTTTGAGGTTCTGCGTCAATTTTACGATGCGACAACATTTTATTATCATAACAAAGTTGGCCTTAACAGTCGACCAAATGCTTTTGCTATATTTTCAGGTTTCTTTTTTTTTTTTTATTTTAGAAGAAATTTGAAGAATTTCCAAATATTATTCAATTTAATTTCTTTGATTTTCGTTTTTTAATTCAGCTTTTTATTTTTTAAGTCTTTTCTTAGTCTATTTTCATCCTTAAACTTGTGTTATTTATCACTTAATTTATCTTTTATTTAATTTCCAAATTTTATTTATTTGAATTATAATTTCGTAAAGTTTTTGTTCCATCTATTCGACTGTTTGATTTTATTAACTGAACTTTAATTATTTTCGTATTATTTGGCTCAATGATTTTCATTCTCGTAATTTCTACGCCTTATAATTTAACTCTTTCATTTTTTTTTAATCTATTGGTGAATGTGAAATTAGAGTTTTGAATATATTAAATTGCTATATTTTTATTCCTTATAAAAATAAAAATTTCACTTCTTCATTATTCTAGGAACTCGTATATCTCAGTTGGATGAGCGCCACTTTCCCGATAAAAGTGATTCCGAGTATTTAAATTCGTGTAAAGTAAGTTGCTTAATCGTTTGACAAACTTCGCATCAACAGGACAAATCGAAATATTTAGATGGATGACAAAGTTTAACTTTTTTCATTCTTTATGTCTCTCCTCTACTGCACTTCTCTTTGTTTACTGATTGATATAATAAATGCAAATGCATTAAAATTGTAATTCATTTCATTCATATCAATGTTTTTCATTATTTTAATCACAGCACTTACTGTACTAATTTTTGATCATTGATAAGCATATAAATAAACTATTTTTAATTTTTAAAAATTTTTCCGATCACTAAAACTTTCATCTCGTTCTGTCACACCTTGAATAACTGATTAAATTAAAATAAACAAATTTAACAATTTATTTATTTCAGGATGGTGTGAAAAAAAATGAAACTGTAACTTATGATTTCATCAATCAAAGTTATGCATCAATAGTAGCGGAAGATTGGATTGGTGCATTTAATTGGCCAAATTGTAAAGGTTATGACTATCCGCCAACCGATCATTTTTGCAAGTAATTAAATTAAAATTGTCATTGTCAAAGTATCTAAAAAATTGTGAAGTTAGTAAATTTTAAATCAAATTAAAAGATCTTTTATTTTTATTCTTGAATTTAAAAATTTTTATATTTTTACTATCATATCATTGATATAAAGAATAATATACTGAATAAAAGATGAATGAATGATTCATATAAAATTTGTCAGAAAAATGATCATTTGAAAATATAATTTGTTGTTGATATGAAGTGCTATGATATTGCGATCTACCGTAAAGCAACCGAAGAAAGAAGAGAAAGATTTCGAGAAATATTTTTATAAGGCAGAATGCCAAGAACCTTATCACAAGGTAATGAATTATGCTAGCAAATTCCTAGACGAATATAATGGAATCTCAAAATTTGTTGTGATATGGCTATCATTGATGACACATGATTCGGCTAGCGGATTATATCGTACTGATAAGGTTCATCTTTTATCATCACATATCAGATCCTTTGTTGTTCGATTTTTTCTAATGATACTGTGATTAGCAGTGATAAAGAAAGTAAAACTTATTGATATAATACTTTTGTCAATTAATTATTTGTAATTTACAGTATTTTGCCAATTTTTTTCGTAAGCATGTCAACAACTTGAATAACTCATTCGTATTTCTAATGGGTGATCACGGATTACGATTTGGTGATATTCGATCAACTCGTCCTGGTCAGATGGAAGATAATAATCCATTGTTTATGGCAAGATTTCATGTTTATAACAAGAAATAAGCAATTGAACGAGGATAAATGATGAAGGACGTTTGGAGTTCAGAATTTTAATTCCTAAAAAAATTTTAATTTCATTGATAAATCGTAGATTTCATTATTACATAATCTAAGATTTATCAGTGTAAATTTCTAGACTAAGTAAATTCAGCATTTTTCTTATAAATTAAAACTTTGCCAACTTTATCATAATTTCCTTCATCTTTCAGGTAGCATTACCAAAATATTTACGTTCAAATGAACAGCTTATTTTAAATTTAAAGCAAAATTCTCGAAGGCATACATCTCAGTTTGACTTCTATGCAACATTATATGATATAGCTCGGTATGCAAGGAAAGATAATTTCCAGAAATGGGATGAACACGATTTCAGGTTTTGCTTCTTTTTTTTCCTTACCACTAACTCTTTTTGCATATATTATCGAAAGAAAGTAATAATAAACATTGCTATTGGCTTTGTCTAAATTTATTGTTTTATCTAAAATTTTGCGAAAAAAAAATTCTAAGAACTTATTTTACTTTTATAAAAATTGTTGTTATATATACATATTTTTAACTTTGCCACAGTGCTATGTTGTGTGTATACAGTGGATCTCAGTGGTTCACAAAGAAAAAGTTTTTATAATTTTTGAAAATTTCAAAAATGAAAATGCTTTGTTATATAAATGTTTGTAATATTTATTTCACTTATAGAAATGAATTTGGTGACATAAGAGGTGGCATTCGTGCAAAGAGCATTCTAAGGCCTATTTTATATGACAGGTGAAACAATCTGCAACTATTTTGTTGTGACACATTTTGTCTTTTGATTTCTTTTTTTGAAAGACAAAAGAAAGAATATAGAATTATGGAAGATCACTTTAAAATTAGGAATTATTTTTATGACTATAATTTTATGACTAAGGGAAATAAAAGTTGTTCAGCTTTTTCTAATTTCAATAGGACAATAATTTGAAGTTGTTAAATTTACTATATGACTTCTAGGACATGTGAAGAAATGGAAATTCCGGATGAATACTGTATTTGTGAACAAATTTGGCATAAGATTGATATACACAGTGATAATGTGACAAATGCCGCTCAGTTTCTCATTAATGATATCAACGATTTCTTAAAACAGAAAAATCTGACCGAAATCTGCGAAACGCTTGATTTCATAGAAGTGATAATTTCAATTTACACAAATATTTAATAAGCAAAATCGATAGGTAAAGAAAGAGAAGCCCGTAAATAGTAACATAACTGTAAAATATATTATGACAGAAGAGCTAATCTGGTAAGCAAGCTTATTGAAAGGAATCTTTCAAAAAAGTTTCCTTTAAATTGCAATACAATAGCATTTCACGTGACAAGGTGATACAAACAATGTGATAAGCAATATTTAGTAATGATAAAGTCATATAAGAATATGATATCACAAATTACGTCCAGGTAAGTATTATAAAGTTTTGAATAGAAATAAGAATTTGAATAATCCTAGAAATAAGAAGAAATTTTTGTCTCATTTTGCTTTTTTTTTCATCTCAGTTAATTATTTTTAAGGTAATTTCGGCAAATCAACTTGAAAATAAACCAGTTTTAAAGATAGTCGTAAGTGCTTCACCGAGTTATGGAAAATATGAAGCGCAATTGTTAAAGGAGAAAGATAACTTTATAATAATCACAAAAGTAACATTCTTTGTGTCATTATTATTTTTTTTGTTTTACTGTTGCATTATACTTACTGTTTGTTCAACAGTACCAATTTTTTTTCTGTTTTCTATTTTTCATTTTCTTTTCTAATTGAGATTTTATTTGTTTATGTAATTATTACATTCACCATCCATAATCATCATGTTTTGATGTTCCGACGATATTAATTCATTATATTTTAATGATTTCTCGATGCAAATTTCAAATTCACTCATTTAGATAACTCGATTGGATAAGTACGGTGAACAAGGATACTGTGCACCTGCTGAAGACGTTCGACCTTTGTGTTACTGTCGCCAACAGTTGACAACATCTACGACACGCTGACAACAGTTGCGACGCATCAACAGCACGATTCACTGACAACAACTGTGACACTATCATGTTTAAATTTTGTCGTGAATGGTTTGTCTTCAGATACTCGAATATTTGTGATACAGGCAGTGAGATTAATAAATCTTTATTTTTATTTGATTTATTATCAGTAATCTGAGCAGTAGAAATGGACTTTATAAAATCGGAGGAAATTCAGATTGGTTATGAGGGCTTATAGTCGACAATAAAGACAATAATGAATGTTTTGTTTATTAGATTTAAATTTATATGAGTGAGAATTAGGTGTGTCTGAGATAAAAATTACATGTGTGAAGAATTTTAAGAAACTAGATTTAAGGAGAGATAATTCATGATACCGTAGGATTGTTTACAATTTAAAAATGATTAATTAGTTTTATTAGTCTTTAGTTATATTAATCTTATCGTTTTGGTATAATTCGCGACACGGAGAGAAATGATAGCGCAGAAAGAATTCTACCTCATCAGTACCGCCAAAGGAGACAAAAGAGACATTTCATTAATTTGACTTGCTTATCTCACATTAGCTTTTCCGGTCGACGCAGAAAACATCGATAGTGCCTTCTCAGATTTCAATTTGAGAAGGTAAACAGACTATAAGTGAATAAAATGAGAAAACGATAACAAGAACTGATGCAATACTGAAATAAGAAGTACAACTAACTGGTTATAGGTCGTTAATTAATTAATTAATGGATTCAAGATACAAGAATTTACTATTCATTTTACATATTATTTAATGCTTCAAGTAACTCATCCGTTTTTGTATTATAACAAATGCTTATCACTTCATAACAACGTTTCTGTAATACAACTGCAAATAAAAAGATAAAACGATTTATCAACAAATATATATATTTACCATAGCTACTTAATTCGACAGATATACATTTAAATCTATTAGTGAAACAATTAATCAAATAATATCAATCATTTTCCTCTCAATCGCATTTTCTTAACCGAATTTTCGAAATGCAACTATTGCATATGTGGGGCCAGCAAGAAAACGAGATTCTGTTCCAATTTGATAATTTAATCCAACTATCGATGATGATTCATTAAGTAAACGTAACGTACTTAGCGGAATGTGTGGAAATATTTCACTGTAAAAAAGAAATATTATTAATGGAAGATTATGAAAAATTGATTGGGCGTGTTAAAATACGAAAACCCAATAACAGAAGTTACGTATGTCATTTGACGAGTTTATGACTTTGTCAATTTTCAAATGCATAAGGAACTTAAATTCAGTTAGCGTAGTGACATATGTGATGCAATCATGGTTTGTTAATATACTTATGAATATTATAATACTGAAACGTATACCATTAATCGATTACATAGCTCTATTAGTTACCTAACAGAATTACCCTACCCGTATCCTATCTACATAAATATTTTAAATATTCTCTCTGAATATCTCAACAAACTTTTTAAATATCCCACTTGAATATCTCACTTTAACATTCTAAATATCTTACCTGAATATTTCTTCACTATTTTCAGGCTCATTGCCATTGACCACCGTAAAATGAAATGCAATCGTTTGATAGTTATCAAGGAAGAAAAATTCCTCCTACAGAAAAAGAATAATTTTACACAATTAGCAAACTTTAAAATATTTCCAACATATATCAACGGAACAAAAAAGTGAGATAAAAAAATACGATAAGAAGTAAAAAAAAAAAAGAAAATCTAACTAAAACTTTAGAGACTTAACAAGTTTATTTAGACAATAAGAAAACAACTTTATAACTTTAATAATAAAGAATAAACTAAAGCTAATGAAAAAATCAGTCGAAGTAGAATATATATGTAACCTTCCAGTCTTCAAACTTTGCTTTCAATACTTTTTCATCTTTAGTATCTACGAGAAGAGTCGATGCGCTTATATCCAAACCGTGAAATACTAGCACTGAACTATCTCGATACCATCCAAGACTCTCTCTACTGAAATATTTTTTGCTACAATGATAAAATTATTCGTTGTTTATTTGTAACTATTATAGCATTCGTTTTATTTCTGAGATCCTCAAGGAAATTATTCTTGTATAATAATTGATATGAATCAACTGAAATTAAAAAAAAAATAATTTTGCTAAACATTTCGTGGTTAAAGTCACATATTCCTTCACATTATATTCCAAAGATTAACCAAGAAATTCATAAAGTCTAACTTACACTTTTTCTCGAGTATCCGATTGAGCAACAACACAAATTGGTGCATTACCCAAATCTTCTCTGATCATTTCGATTGCATTTAATGCTCGACTTATAGCATTTTCTCCAGTACGTTCATCATCACTACAAATTAAAATGATCAACTTCATTTCATCCTGAAATTCATAATTATCATTTTACCAAAATGTTCATCAATTTTAATTTGTTAATGGCAGTACTTTAAAGTTTCATGTCTTCTGACCCAATTAGATTCTTACAAACTTACTGCGTCACTTTTCAATGATTGATACGAATTGTATGAATCGTCACTACTGAAAATAATGATAAATATGGTATAAAAATTTAATTTAAATAAAAAATGTCATTTCATATTCAAAATGTTTTGCGTTGATTTTTTAGAGTGCAATGAATTACATTAAATATTTTAAGTTAATTTTACTACTATCTCTTCAACTTCCTTTTTATTCGTATATTAAATATAAATTACAGTCCCATTGCCATTCAACTAATCATTTAACAATACATTTCGTATAAAAAAAAAAAAAAAAAAAAAAAAATTTAAATAATTCAAAATCTAGATATTTCTAATTATTATAACAAATAACAAATAAACTTCAACGTAGGATAGCTTTAACTTTAAATTTCAAATTTACATTTTATGTTGGTGAAGAAAAGTTACGAAAATAACTTACCGAATTTTCATTGCGCTTATATATTTTAAATTGATATCCAAAAACGATGGCAGCCATGGAATAATCACTCCATTCATTGGACTTCCTTTAATTTCATCGGGAACAAATGAAGCTTTATTACCTAAAATTGCAAATCATAATTATTTCTCTTATTGAATTCCAATTTTTTTTTATCATTTCTTAGCTAGTAGTTGTAATAAAAATTATATACAAAAATCCATTAAAAATTTCCTAACCAATTACAACTCTCCTAAATATTTTTAGGTGATCTTTTTGAGGTGTAATCACAAGTATATGACAAAATGCCGCAATGCCAGTTATATTAATCGGTTTTTCGCTGTTAAATAAAATAGCATGATTTGGTGACCAATGATAATCGATAGCACCACATCTATACTAAAATTATATCATTAAATCTTTTAGTATATAAACTTTTTTTTTTTTTTTGATTGCTAGCAATTTTATCTTATTTCATTCTTTTTCAATTATACTATTAAGAAATTTAAGAAGAATTATTCTCCAATAGTTTATAAGATTAATTTTTTTGGACTTATTTGATGATAAATTGTCTTTATTAAATGAAGGAAAACTTTTCAAACTTTTTTGAATTGCATCTTTTAATCGATTGTTATCATAATTATACTCAAACTTAATAGCAATAGCAATAATGAATTGAACATACTGCATCATTAGTGCAATTTATTTCAGATATTCGTTTAAATGCTTCTACTAAATATGGCGGAGTTATTTTGCTATCTCGGTAATGCAGTATTTTAGATCGACGATTTAGCACAAAGTTTGCAGCTTCACTCATCACAGGGAGATTTCTGTAAAATGATACATCAATTTTATTTTTTATTATAATTTATTTTATTTGCTGCTATGTTTGCAATATTTGGTAATATATAAGTAAAGCTAACGCCATATTTTCTAAATCATCATTAGCTAAGCGTTGAGCAATAGCCTCTCCCATTGGTGTATATACAAAAACTTTCTCTAATAGTTTGTTGAGATATTGAATTTCAGTTTCATTGTATGTTTTATCATCCACTCCTTCTGAAATTTCAATTTAATTTTTTTCATTTAAACAACAAATGCAACACTCATTTTTAGAAAATATGAACAATGTATCACAACAATTTGATGTCACTTCGAGTTATTTTACTTGGAGCAAAATTAAAAAAAAAAAATTAAAGGTGTTTACTTGTTGTGGAAATGATGTCTGCTGGAATTGCATGGCTTATAACAAATGTAAGCACAATAAATTTTAAAATCATTGTTATCTGAAACTATGAATTTAAAAACATTCAATAATGATATGTCGAAAGATTCTATAAGACATCATCAATTTGATTTACTATTATAAATGAATTTTAATTTCATAGAAGTTTGAACATATTCATTATGCACTAATTTTTTTATATGGTCAGTAATAACAAAAAAAAAAAAAATGACTCCTTTTGGTCAGTAATAACAAATGATTCGTATATATGAAATTTAAACCTAAATTTAATGTTATTCAGTGAAGCACTCAAAATCAATGCTACAATTCCTTTTTGTTTTATCCTTCGATAGTCAAAATTTAATGAAGAATTTAAGAATTTATTTATGACAGTAGACGAGTTAACTATAAATTCTAAAAATGATTGATGATATATGTGAAATCTAAATCTAATTTTAGGTGAAACAAAATCGAATACAAAAAAAAAAAAAAAATCAAATACAATTTCAAACAATGATAAAAAAAATTATTCTCAGTCATCTTTTATGCATTGAATAGTGGTATACACTATGGAATAATCCTGATAATTTATTAGGCAAAAATCAAAAATCAACTTTTCATTGATATTAGAATTAACTAAAACCTCTGAAAGTCTTTCATTGAATTGAATAAATTTGCATTTCTGTTACAACTTTCAAAAGCTGAAATGAATGGTGAAAAATCAAAAATTTTTGATCAAAGAAAATATGATATCCATTTTATCAATTCAATTTTTTTGCTGGACTCATTTAAAAATAACAGAATTATTTTACCAAATTTCAATAATTTCAATACGACCATTTTCAATAACTTCCAGCTAAGTTTCAATAACCCCATTTTTATTGGAAGTTAAACCCATTAATTAATTCAAAAAAAAAAAAAAGCAAAAAGTCATTACTGTGACGATACTGTGAAATGATACAAATAAATAATTTATCATTGTAATAATTTGTGATAGAGAAAAGATTGACAATGAATTGTGAACGAAAAACAAAAATCTTAGATCAAATTTATTACAAAACGTAAGAAAATTTCAAACAAAGTCTAAAAATGGTTTATTTGACAGAGAATTAGTAATAAATTCGATTGCACCTTTATAATTATGGAATTATATATAATTATGATAAATAACATATTCATTTTAAGCATTTTATAATTATGTTAGCATTGAGGAGTTTTTTTTTTTTTAATATTTCATTTAAAAAACTTTAAATTAATTATATAAAAAAATTTTGATGAGGAAAATTTTTTTCCTAAAAAATTTCAGTACATTTATTTATTATTATTAAAATGCTCCTTTTTTTTTAAAAAAATTTGCAATATTAATTTCTGTTTAGCTTATCAAAACTAAAATTACTATTTTAGGAAAAATATTATGTAATTGAATTCCAATTTGGGAATTTTTCTGGTATCTTATTGCACTCATTGATATTTGAGAAATTTTAAATAACAAATAAAATCGCTAATTTTTATTGCTTTCAAATCCTCTGTTTTCAGTTCAGTTATGCATGAGTTATCTTCAATAAGTGCTTCGGAAAATTTTCAAGGTTACTTAATGGTTTATTTACAATTAGCTAACAATACAATCATTTAGGTCACTCGAAATAATGCGCAGATATTCAAAATGGCAAACAGATAATATATTAAATAGCAATGGACATTTGCGCATCACAATTTAGTAAAATTGAACATTTCCTGCAATAATTGCAAAGTAGCAAATCACATTTTGCTCATTTTTTAATTGGTCAAAAATACAAATTGGTCAGTTTTGTGCAATAATTAATTTTGTTTATTTTTTATGCTATGTTTGTTTATGATGAAATTTAGGAGAATTTCATTAGGAAAAGATTTATTACAGCTATTTCACTAACATTTATCTGTTAAAAATCTGTTTAACACCTCCAACTTCATTTTATAAACAAATCACTATTTTAACAGAAGTATATTTGATATCTATGAATTTTAAAAGAAACAAAGAAAGCAAATAGCCAATTAAACATCTGAAAACTTAAATGAATTTATGTTATAAGGAAATCAGATTCGCATTATTAAAAAAATTCCTAAAATTTTGGAATTAAACAAAGAAGAATGTTTTTTCGACTATATTTGTTAGCATTTTTCCTTTTTTTTTTCTGCCTGCAAAAATGACGCTATTATTTTTAAAATTAATTTCAGTTTCCTCTGCTAAAAGTTTTCAGTTTTCAGTTCTTTTTTTGTGTAAATCATTTCATCGAATATATTTAGGATGGCATCATTAAATAGATTTCATACACTAACTGAAAATAACAAACTTTTCAAAAAAAAAAAAAAGATTGAAAAAATGCAGTGATATGTACAAAAGTATGCGATTCAAACAACAATTTTAGGAAATTTTAGGAGAGATAAAAAAAAATTAATTGAAAATTCTAAATTTATAACCGCTCAAAAATTTTATTGGAATGACAAAATTTTTGATAATTGAAGCCAAATGTTTATTATTTCATTTTCAAGATTTGTTTCTTGTGAAAAAAAAAAATTATACATACAATATGTTTCCTTTATTATCGCTCCTAATTAACATAGCAAAATTAATTAATATATCAATAATTAAATGTAGAAAAAAAGTTAATTTGAGCAGATTCATTCTATTAGCTCAATTATCATCATAGAACTATCTAACAATATATTGAAAAAAAAAAAAAAAAATTCCACACAATTTTACACAGTACAAAATATTTGATACAAATTTTATTATTTTTTTAAAAATTAGTTTAAATATTTCAAAAATAGAATAAATTAATATCATTGTAGCATAATGCAATAAAAAACTAAGCTTTTAAAAAACCATATGAATATATCATCATAGCATATGATTAGAAGTATTTAATTTTCATATTTTTTATCTACCAATTCATTTTATCTACCAATTCATTTCACCAATTCATTTCATTTTTTATCTACCAATTCATAATAATACTGAATACTTAAATTTGAAAAAAAAAAAAATTCGCATTAAAAGATTTCATCGGTATATTTTCATTTAATATTGTTGAATAAATTTGGTATTTAATTAGTAACAATTTGTCTCAGAATAATAAATATTCAAATTACTATTTCACTATTTTGTTGTATTTGACTGAATCATTTTACTGGACCTTCTTTTTTTAATTTTTTCTCTTTTTCTTGATTTTTGATCACTTAACTGTCGTAATCTCGAATGTTGTTGCCACCATTTTTGAATAATTAAAGCGGCCAGATTCCGTAACTGATATGGAAACAGCCCACCATTACGTAATAAATAATTCACAATCTGAAGAAAAAAAAAAAATTATTTCATTCAAATATATTATTCATATATGCTCACAATATTCATCATCACAAAACTATACATATGTTTTCATTTTTTTTTTTTAAATCGATGAAAAAACAGATTTTTTTAAAATTAAATAAAAAATCTGAACTAAGTCTTAAAGTATCATAGATTTTAGTACTATTTAAATTTTAATGCTATTCCTGTCAATCTTTGATCAATCATTGCTGATTCCTGGTGATTCTTGATCACTTACTAGTATTTTTTGATAATTTCTTGTCATTTCTTCATGATTTTTTAATGATCTTTGATTAAAATTATAAATTCCCAAATTATCAGAAAGCTTCTCCATCATGAAGCAAATTTAAAACTGTCAATTTAGAAAAGAATTTTCCAATTATACACTTATCCAATCTTTTCCTCTCCATTCTGTTATTTAACTAGAAAAGAAAAAAGTGGAAGGAATTCAAAAATTTACTCATCCTAAATTGCAATGCTATCCTTTCTATTTTTTATTTAATCACTACATTCCTCAATAATTCATATAATCTATTAATCTTATTCAATGAATTAGCTATTCTTTATAATTTCAAATTTCAGCTGTTCCTATTTGCCTATTAACTGTTTCTTGTATCTTCCAAATTTCATCTTATCGATACTTATTAAATTATATTTTATATCTCATACCTGCTGATGACCATTGGCCTGTGCACAACTTAACGGTGTACAATCGTCGATCCGTGCAAATGCATTTACAGCTGCTCCACATTTCAGTAAATATTTCACACAATCATATTTACCTCTTTCACAAGCTATATGAATTGGCGTAAATTGATCTAAATCTTCCTTATGAATGAGACAATCCTAAAAAATATAAATTTTACTGCTATTATCATTATTATTGTTGCTGTCACTCTTATTATTATTGTTGTTGTTGTCAACAAAAATTCTTATCTGAATTATTTGTGTATACTGAATATAACTGTTGATTTTTTTTAATAAGGAAAACAACAATAAAATAAAAGGAAGAAGAAACTTTAATTAGTTTAAATGAATTATTTTACGATTAGTATTCAGTTTACTTACTAATTTATTTATTTATTTATTCTTTTTTGGAAAAAAAACATAAATTAAAATATACAATTACTAATAATTTTAATTCATTAAAATGATTAATTTTATAGTCTTTCAAAATACCTTTCATATTAGTTTCATATGTTGAATCATTTTAAATTTTAAATAATAAAGTATAAAACAAACAGCTTTCATGATAAGTACTTCAATGCATGCAATATAACCACCAAATGCAGCACAATGCAGCGCAGTTCGTCCAAGCTTATCCGTATGCATTATTTTGCAATTTAATTCTGTCACCATAACGCTTAATGTATGCGCTTGTCCTCCCAAGCATGCATAAAATATCGGAGTTCTAAATTTTTATAATACAAAAATAAAATATGCTCAAATAGAAATTCATTTCAAATAATCCTTTAATTTTCAGAATCGCAACAAAGTTTTCTTTTTTCTTCAAAAAAAAAAAAATCAAAATGTAGTATAAAGAATCGAATTTGAAAGTTTTAGAATTAATCGAATACAGCACAAATATTAGCAAAAGAAAAGAAAAAAAAATATAAAACATTAGTAAGTATTGGCTAGTTTTAAAATTTTTTAAATTATTTTAAATTTTCGAAAAAAAAATCCTCAACTATTCCTCAAATATATCGAGTAATTTTTAAGTTTTTCAAATTATGTAGAATTTCCCAACACACATACACACACTTCAACAACTAATCCTATATCATTTCTCAAATACAAATATTTTACAATCTTTTCAATTAATCAGTCTCTCACAATTTATTAATTTAATATAACCTTCCTTGTTGATCGATATGTTCACAATTAGCACCAACCATAACTAATAAACGAGCTACATTGGTAAAACCTTTGGCTGCAGCAAGATGAAGAGCTGTTGCACCAGTTTCATCTACTTCCTAATTTAATCATGATTGAAAATTTCGATTAATTCTAAAATTTAAGAATAAAAAAAAAAAATTCAAACAACTAACAATTTCTTATTTTTTTTTTGTTAAAATATAATAATAACATACATGAATATTCCATCCTTCTTTTACTAATAATTTTATCAAACGTAAGCTTCCAATATGCGCCGCATGATGAAGCGCTGTATAACCATATTTATCTTTATGATTACGATTTGGTTGATAATATTCCAAAAAATGTTGCACTAATAATTCTTGGTCAGCAATTACTGACCACATAAAACATGATCGTCCATCACTATCATATTGCTCCTAAAATTTTCTTTTCTTGTTTAATTCTTTCTTTTAAACTATCAATCATAATTCAATAAGCAATAACCATTCGTCCAGCAGATATCATTAATTGATCAACAACATTACGATGACCATTCAGTACAGCGTAATGTGCCGGTGAAATACCGTAACAATCACGTGTAGCATTACGTGCTTTTGCTGCTAACAATTTCTTCACCACTTCATCGAAACCACGTTTTGCTGCATAATGTAACGGTGTACGAGCATCATTATCAAATGTCTAGAATTTTAGTTTGCTCTATTAAAAACAAAACAAAAAAAAAAAACTCTTTGCAGTAGTTTGAAATAAATTTCAAATCTATTTTATTTTAATGTGTAAGCATTAAAAAAAGCAAAAATTTCAAACTGCAAATGGTTAAACTAATAATTAAAAAGTATACCTAATAAGTAGGCCTAAATAATTAATTGATTGATTGATAAGCCTAAATGTGAAAATGATATAATAAGAAATAATAAGATTTAAAAATTTTTCCACAAAAAAGTTTACATAACATGAAACTTCTTTTATTAAATTTCATAACTAATAAATTGTTAATTAAATATTACTATTAATTAATCAATAAAGGAAAATTAAAAAAAAATGTGAAATGCACCTCTGAAGGACATTGCAATTCGTTGAGCAAAATGTCAACAACAGTCGTATTTTGCGCAATTACCGCTAAATGCATTGCCGTACGACCAACATTATCACGAGCTGTTACTGAACTTATCTTTCGGCTTCCCAATAAACGTACTACTTCTGGTGCTATAATCAAGTTGAAAAAAAAAAAAAAAACAAAATTTAAATTTCTAAAATTTCATGGTTAATTTTTAAGTTAAAAGTAAATTGCTTTTACATTGTTGAATGAAATAATGAAAGTAAAGAAAAATGTAGTTTATTTAATTATTTTTTTCCAATTAGTGGGAAAATAACTTAAAAAAATAATCTAATGAAAGAAAATAATTGAAAGAGTAAAATATTTTTATGCAAAAAAAATTTATGCATTTTTTCTTTGTCATTGAAATAAGAAATATGAATTTTTTTTTTTTTGGGAAATAAAGAATTTTAATTGTTTCATTTAATATATACTTACTTTCTTAATTATTTTCAACTAATTAAATTAACAATTTCTTTTAATGTTTCTTTCCTTCCATTGTCTTTTCTTAAAATTCATTTGCAAAATTTATTAAATGAATGGAACGAACCATCCGGATGACAGCTAGCAGCAGCACACATTAATGGTGTATGTCCATTTCGATCCTTCTGATCAACCGGCAATCCAAGTTTTTCATCAAGCAGTACCTCACAGCACTCCAATCTTGCAGTGCATGCAGCATAATGCAGCGGTGATCGACCGACGTTATCATTTACCATTTGATAAAAATTTTCACTATCCAATACGGTAGATTGAAGTAACATCTTGAAAAAAAAAAAAAACGAAATAAAAGAAAAAAAGAAATTTTTTAAATTAAATTTTTCTAAATATTAAATTTGATATGTTTCAATAATTCTGGTACATACATAATTTATGCTATATATTTTAATTAAAATTAAATTTTCAGAAATTATATATGAAATAAAGAAAAAACAAAATGACGTGGATATGAAAAGCAACAAATTCATGTTAAATTTGATGATGTACCAATATATTTGATATATTTTTTTGAGATTTAGATTTTAAACATGAATTTTTATATTCTGATTTGATAACTTTAGTTCATTTCAATTCTCTAAAATACGTTCAATTATTATAAACATAAACAAAAAGATATTTAAATAAAACGACAAAAACATTAACTTATAGGGATGTAATTTTGAATCATTTTTGAATGTGTATGTTAAGGATTTAGTTAAAATTGAAATCTTTGAAATTATAAAAATTGAGGAAAAAAGAAGTAATATGAAATGTTTCAGAAATAAATAACATCGTTAGATGGTTGTATTTTTTAATTTTTAATATATAAATTTATATGTTACATGTAGTTTAAACTAATTTAAATTTATCCTAGTATATTCAAAATTTTCAAAAAAAAAAAAAAAAAAAGAAAAGTTGAAAATTATCAAACATAATATAAACGTTGCTAATATTTTCTATGGTTTTATTTGCAAAATTTTTTTGTTTTAAATGTCATTTTTCGGTGTTTATAATAATTAAATATTTTTTTGAAAAATTGAAATGAAAATGAAAATTTCTCAAATTAAAATCTTTTTTTTTTTTTAAAAAAAATGATACTTTTAAAATTTTCACATGACCATAATGTGCAGCAAGATGAATGGGTGTAATTTGCCGATTATTTTTTATCACAATCCATGGTATTTCGGAATATTGCCGTGGTAAACTAAGCAAATATTTGCAACATTTACGTGCGTCAAATTTTGCAATCCAATGTAAAACGCTTTCGGAACATTCTTCACCGTCAAATGATGACTTGGATCGTCTGCAAAATTGCAAGTAATTAAAGGTTACATTTAATTATCAATAATAGTTGAAATAAAATGTAGATTATTATAATTGAAAAAAAGAAAAAACAAATTCTAATAGAAAACAATTAATTTTCACTAAAATAGCAAGTTTTTTTTTTTCCGAAGTTAAATTTTTTTAGTCTTTTTTTTTTTTGATCTTTTCTTGTCTTTTTTAAAACTTTTATCGCATGAAATAAACTATAAAAATTATTATAAAATTTAAATCATACTTTGAGATAATTTGTAAAGCTCGTAAACGATCGTAAAGTAATGCATAGGTAAGCAGAGAACGTCCACGACGTCGTATCTCAAGCAATTGCGGAAACTGTTTTATTAGCTTTTCAAATTGTGTCACATTATTATCTCGTAGCAAATCGATTGCTTCCAAAAATTTAGCATTCATCAATACAATTTTTCGATTAAAAATTTCCGTTAAAATTTATAAACTTTCTAGAAAAAAAAAAAAAAAAGGAAGAAAGAAAGACATAAAAACATTTTATTATTTCACACAAACAGAATATCGATTGAAATTTCGAAAACAGGAAATAACGACAATACATGTTGAGTAGAAATTATAAATTAAAAAATTTCATTTCACCTTATAATTATTTGTTTTATCCATAAATTTTCTTACCAATATACTTATTTGTTAATCTTAACATTCTACCAGTTTACTTAATTTACTTACTTAGTACTTACCATTTGCTTATTTGCTAATCTACTTACTAAACTGTTTACCAATAGTTACAACTCTTACTCTTAAACTGTTTACCAATAGTTACAACTCTTACTCTTATCACATTTTAAAAGATCAACAACATTCAACTCTCATTTCTAACCACTTTTCATAACCCTCAAATATATTCTTTCCTATCACCTTATCTTCCTCTTAATTGTTCCACTACATGTGCACATGTCGTGGCGGTAGTGGTGATAGTCATGGCAGGTGATCGGCGGTGATCTCATCATTTCATGATGTCTTCTCTGCTGAATTTACAATGTTTGACAACATTTTGTCGCATATTTAAATGTCACAACTCATTTGTGATAATCTTGAATGAAGCTATACTGTTAGCTAGATTATTGCTAATTTCATTTATTTATTATTATTATTATTATTTCTATTCCTACTATCACTTTTGTTTGCTTATTTTTTTTTTTTTTAGTTAATTAATAAATAAAACAGTTTTCCTATTTTTTCTGCCACCACTTTCTGTTTGTACCGTCGTAAATCTGATAGATAGTAAATTCAGAAATGATATAACACACATACATCTGTTTTTCTTTTTTTTTTGGAACTGAATTATTTACTGCAGAGGAACTAGAAAAATCAAATCAGATCTAACATTAATTCTTCTTTCTTTTCTTCAACAAAATTATATATGTATATTTTTTTTCTTTGTTAAATATTTTCAGCTCGATTAATGCACAAAAATCTGTTATGAGAGATCTAATGTAGAAATAAACGTGAATTTGAATAGAAAACATTTTTAATATTACAAGCCACTATTATTACCAATGTACAAATAATAAATTTAAGCAATACTAATTTTAGAAGTAACCAGAGTTTAATAATTTAGAGGACACAACCTTTTGCTTGAAATTAAACTAAATTTCAACTAAAATAAAAATTGTTTCTGGTATTGCTTGCATTCAAGATGTATAAAAAAATATAAATTCAAGATGTATCAAAAGCATTTAAAAATATTTGAATGAATTATCACAGTAATTTTTGAAACAAAAATGTATTCAATTCGTCAACAAAATCTTATCCGAATCAATTTTACTGGAAAAACCCAGATAGATACAAAAGAATTAGCATAGCAATGAAAGAAAAATAAAATAAAAAATGAACAGAGACCGAATAAATATAAATTATGCAGTGGAATTTGATTTTTTCCACACAACTTCAAATTTCAGACTTCAACTTTCAAATGCAACAAAATTTAACTGAATTATCACAGTAATAAACTTTCTTTTGTGACTTTTGAAACAAAAATGCTTAGAATGTCAAAAGTTACCATGATATTTAAAAGAGTGACTTAAAAGCTAACTTAATTTCCTTAAAAATTGAAGTTAAAAAATCGAGTAGGAATATTTTTATCTTAAACTATTCACCAATGATACACACATCTCATCTCATCGTCTTGGATAATTAAATATTACCATATCCTATAGATTACTATAACTGGTTAACTTAATTAGCTAAAGTTCAGTTTATGTTACATTATGGCTTATAATTGTCATCGATATCATCCTATTTTTTATTTAGATTTAAAACCAATTTAGAAAAAAAAAAGAAAGAATAAAACTTTGGACAATCGCTTTAAAAGAAATCAGCAAAAAAAAAGGAAAAACACTACAATATTTGCCATCGTACATATCATTTGAAGGCAAACAATGAAACATTTTACCAGCTTCAAATCTGCAAATACATGTGATTTCTTAACAATATTTTTTTTTTCTTTTTAAATGAAATCACAAACAAATAATGAAATGATGCAATTACTGCCATTTTTAATGACTAAATTAAATTACTGATAGTTCAATTAGTCAACCATTCAGACCAATCTATTTAATCAGATTAACCTGACAAGAAATGAATGATTTTCAATTAATGTTATGATAATAAGGCACTCATATATCTCTCAAAATTACAATGAGATGATAATTGAGGAAAATGGATATGAACAAAATGTGAAAATGAATACCTATAGTGATAAATGATTTTTTTCAAATAAAATTTTTATGCTTCATGTCAACTATTTTGTTAAATAAGGTCAACTCAAAATCCCATTCATGTAAATGGCAATAATTGCATTATACACTTTTGATAGACCACTTCTAGAAAGACACGATCACACATTATACAAATACAAAATCTCTAATTTCATGACAATAGCTGTGCTAGAATTCAGTTGAAATTATGTACAATATCGGCAAGGAAAAATAATACATACCATACAACAGCTTTTTTTTTTTGCCTATTCATAAAGTTTGAAAGACATCAAAATTTTAGAACTTATTTGAGGTTCACTGAAAATTATCAAAATATTGGAAAAATAGTTTCAACTTTTCATTTTCATATCTTCATATTCTAGCTTGAAAATTTTTAACGATGTCAATTGAAATGCATAGGATTTAAGATTCAAGAAATAAAATCTTCGTTCAATTCAAATTAAGTAATGAAATTTCCTGAAATTGTGGAAAATAACGAAACAATAGCTCATTATACTAGTTAAGCAACCTTATAGATATTAGAATCGATTGAAAGATTTCTAAAATTAATATACAGTTATAACTGCCAATGCTCTGCAAAATCAACGTATAGTGCATGTTCCAGTCGGTTAATTGCAGCTTTGTAAGACAGTGAACCATTCAGAAAATGAGCATCTCGTAATTGATCCTCCTGAAATTTTTTTTTTTTTTTGTTTCGAGATAATAAGCTCAACTATACTAAAAGAATAATGTATCCTAATATAATGATCACACCTGATTTTTAATCTATGGTTTTATTATTTTGTTAGACTTTAGCAAGCGATTCATACAACTATTTAAACATACTTTGTCAAAGGAAAATTGCATCGTCAAAACACGCATCTCATTCTGGGTTGCAAGTGCCAAGAAGAATGAACGCAATTCACTAAAGCTTGTCAGCGTTTTAACATTAACCAGTGAAGCAGACATAAACTTCCGACCATGAGCTGATAGCTGACCATACTGAAACTAGATCAAAAGTAATTCTGAAAATGTGATTCTGCAGTAACAGTCAAATTAAAATTGTAAATTACATAAGAAAAAAAATCATTCATTTTAACAACATCATACTTTATTACGAAGTAAACGATCTATACGACTCGCGAATGGCACAAATGAATCGATATTACTTGTTGCCACCGAATTTACAAATGCCCAGTGACACCTAAAAAAAAATTCTATTCCTCAACTAAGTATATCTGATAATTCTGACCAAAAAATTGATTATCAATCGAAGCCTCGCAATTAAAAAAACTAAGACTTTGCATTCCATAATACAATAATAATGGTAGAAAATCAAAAACGTTCAAAAGTACTTACATCTGAAATTGTGCCAAATAACCGGCGGGAAGTGTACATAATGTTTCAAGTAGTTTACATGCAGCTAGATAAAGCTGCATCCACTGATCATTTCGATCACATTTTAAATCATCCGAAACATTTGCTGTACCCGATAATTGTTGCTCAATTTGTAACAATACGTGAACCTGAAATTCATCCTTTCTCTGTCGTTCAAGACCAATAATTCCTTTTGTGTATCACAAAAATGGCTTAGAAATTTCAGTACAATATAATAAAACTTGAGAAATTGGCAAAAATAATGCTACAAAAGTTGACGCATCTCTTTTTCAACAAATTAAATACACTACCAGTTCAGTAACCATCGAAGGCCATATGCTGACAAGATGTTGTGGTTTCTGCCTAATAAGCAAGACTCGATAACAAAGAAACACTTGGGCATGAACAATCGGAACTTGTGATAAACGCAAATTGTCTGATAAACGCTCTGAAAAAAAAAAATGCAAAATTGTATAGTGAAACATCGTAATAAAAGCTTTAAAAGACGCTTCCTCTTTTTAGATTTTCATCTGCTCAGAAAATATTCTGATACACTTAAGGCTCAAATGATACCAATGCCTTCGTCACAGTTTTCTTCTCAAAAATTTTGTTCTACGTAACATTTCTCAGATATTTTCATTTACAGTATTTTATACAAAAGTATTTAGTGCTCATACGAAATATAAAAAGCATTTCAAATAATACTCATTATTTCAAATTTCAAAAGTCTCAAATTACCTTGTATGTCAGGTAACTGAGCTTGATATTGGCCGAGTTCTGAGCTTAGTATTATAAATGCTAAACGTTTGAGTGCCTGGGCGCGCATTTCATATTCAACTTCTTTGCTTGTTATCAGACTTGAAAGTGCCGAGTTTTGCGCTGTTGAAATCCTTCCTAAAAATCTGAACTTTTCTAAAAGTGCGATGGAAGTCCATAACTAATCGTAACCAAACTCTGTCAATTTTATGTAAGAAAGTATCTGATTTAATAATTAATGCATGCAAAACACATCACCAATTAATTAAGTAACGAAGGACTGGAACGGTAAACAATCTTCAATAATTTTGAAACTATATCTGGTGTTCAAACTACCGTTTACACAGCAAAAATGAAAAGACTTCAATAATTAGCTTACTCCTACAAACCTAACGATTCATCAAAACAGAGTTATATAAATGATGAACTATCCAGCTACATATTAAATTCTTGTTGAACAATCAAAACTAATGAAGAACGAACCAAGCAGCTCTTTGAAAGATGTTTTGTCGTGAGTCATCAAATGATCAGTTATAACCAACCAATGTTTCA